ACACCTTACTATTGTCTCATAAATGGGTAATACCTACCACTGGCATTTCTCTGGGGCCAATTTATATTAGAATCCATAACCCCTACAACTAATGCTAGCTTTAACTCTAGTATTCAACTGGGATTTGTTGACTCCTTGTACCAAACTTTACCACAGATGTCTTGTAGTCCTGATGCTCACCTATCATTATTCTGCTTTTGAAAATGTTTATTAAGTTCTTTTACTACTGCAAGCCATTTCCAGATGAATGACCATCACCTATTTTACATTAATCTACCAATTTTAACTAATTGGATGAACCCACTAAGAAATACTGTAGGTAGAATTATTACCTATGAAAACCCTAAATTGAGAACTGAGTATCCCCCAATGCAATCATTCTACTCTTCAAATAACCTGCTGAATAAACTCTGTCCAGTTCAGTAAGTACTTCCCCTATCTAATTTCTGTACAACTTGTCCAACAAGTTCACGTCAATGATTATATAGATCTTAGCTAACTAGTCTACTGCAACACATGTCATTGAGACATCTCAAAGCGCTTCACAGAAAATACTGTAAAGCAAATTGACTGTATATTTTGATAGAGAAACGCGGCAGCCAATTGTGCAGAGCAGTGTCCCACATACAGTTGCGGATTGAGTGACCACATTTTTTTCAAGCGATTATAAGCCCTGGAAAGCAATCCACCAATTGACTAACAACCAGGTTCCTACTTACTGCGAGAGTTAACAGGGGTGTGCGGAGTAAGGAAGCGTGCCTAAAGTTTGGCCCTGCCCGGGAATTGAACCCGGGTTCTCTCACTTGCGAGGTAAGTGCTCTNAAAAATACACTATGGAACTCCACAATTCCACAAACAACATTGCCTGAGTTGAACTACATGAATTCTCTTTAATCTACTTTACTCAGAACTTTAGTTAAAACTTGCTATTTTTTGTTCAGATCATAATATACTTCAGAAAACATAATATAACATTTTTAATGTTGTGACGTCTCAAAGTGCTTGTGTGCTTTGCAGCATAAGATGGTGTAGAACAAGAAGAAGCCACTCAGTCAATCTAACTTGCTTCTTCCATAACTAATCAAAACATCCTTTCGTGATTTTTTTAATATAGTTATTGAGTGGAAAAGATCTCTACAGATACTCCCTGTTTCACAGAGTAATCAAGGAAGTAGAACTTAACATATCTAAATTCATGGACGATACAAAGATAGGTGGGAGAGTAAGCTGTGAGAATGCAAAGGGAAATAGACAGGCTAGGTGACTGGGCAAGAAGGTGGCAGATGGAGTATAACGTAGGGAAGTGTGAAGTTATTCACCTAGGTAGTAAAAATAGAAAAGCGGATTATTTTCTAGAGGGGCAGAGACTAGGTAGTGTTACTGTTCAGAGAGATTTGAGTGTCCTTATACACCAGTCACAAAAGTTAGTATGCAGGTACAGCAAGCAACTAGGAAGCCTAACGCCTTGTTGGCGTTCATTGCAAAAGGGTTAGAGTGCAAGAGTAGGGAAGTCTTGCTGCAGTTGTATAGGGCTTTGGTGAGACCGCACCTAGAACTGTGTGCAGTTTTGGTCTCCTTATTTAAAAAAGGACATACTCGCCTTAGCGGGGGGCAGCGTAGATTCACTAGGTTGGTTTCTGGGATGAGGGGTTTGACCTACGAGGAGAGGTTGAATAAACTAGACCTATATTCTCTAGAATATAGAAGAATTAGAGGTGATCTTATAGAAACCTATAAGATACTTAAGGGTCTTGACAGGTAGATGCTGTGAGACTGTTTTCCCTGGTTGGAGAATCTAAAACTAGGGGTCATAGTCTCAAGATTAATGGACAGCCTTTTTGAACTGAGTTGAGGAAACATTTCTTCACTCAGTGGATAGTGAATTTGTGGAATTCTCTACCCCAGAAGGCTGTGGATGCTCAGTCCTTGAACATATTCAAGACTGAGATTGATAGATTTCTAAAGGATAGAGGGATTAAGGAATAAGGGGATAGGGCGGGTAAATGAAATTAGGTTAGAAGATCAGTCATGATCTTATTAAATGGCGGGGCAGGCTTGAGGGGCCGAATGGCCTAAGCCTGTTCTTACATTTTATGGTCTTGTGGTCTTAAGCTGAAACTCCATATTTATCCATCAACTATATCTCCACCACTACGATGATACCACTGTATTACACTGACATACCAGCATGTGAAAGTTATACAAATAATAATTCTTACATTTGATATAGCGCTTTTCACGTCTTCTAGATGACATAGTATTATGAAAAAGTGATTTATAAAACAGAAATAGCAATGTTACAGACAAGATGGGAACAAATGGTCTTGTTCTGGACTGAAATTTGTGTAATTTATCTTGTTATCTAATATGTTTGAATCTATCTCAATTATAATTATAATCCACAAATACACAGTTATTTGCCATTCTTGGGTTTGGTGTGGCTGTCTGTGGGAATACAGGTTGTGGAAGCATTGGTCATTTTAGTTGCAGCTGTGGCAGGTTGTCAAAAGCTGCCACTTGGTGGTGCAAAGGAAGTACACAGTAAACTCTTGATAACTCATCACAAGAAGGGAGGAGGGCGCAATGATGAGTTATCCAGAGTGGGGCGTTAGGTATACGTATTAATACATAAATAAATGCAGCAGGGATATTGATAGCATGACGACTTAAGAGGAAGTGACAAGGTAAGCCTGGGTCGAGTTATCTGCAGTTTACTGTATAGATCTCTGCAGAAATTGTTCGATGCTTTTAAAATATACAAATATGTACTACTGTACATATTTTAAACAATTTACTACCTGGTACTGCATCAGTGAACAATAGATTGCAGACTAACGTACCTTGGTTTAAGAACAACTTTGTTTAATATGTACATTTTCCGTTTTATTTCAGTTGCATGCATGCGTACTCATGCGGTTGGTCAAGTACAGTCCAGATGTTTTCAGTGATGTATGTGAGACCAGGTGAATTACTCTTGTATCGGTTGGAGAGATTTAGATTTCATCACTACAGAGAGTTAGCCCCTATCTTATCACCGTGACAGTGATGAGATCCCACTGTTATTAGGATGTTAGTAAATTGCTCCCTGTGTTAACTTTCCAATGCAGTGGAGTATTTTGTGTTATTTTCGTGACATGTGCATTAGCCATCCTACTGCTACTTTTGCCAGTGATTTGAGTGCGCTGTGCTGTGACCACGAAGGCGAGTTTAACCTCCTATGTTATTATTTACTCGGAAAGAAAGGGGGATGTCAGGCAGCCTCTAGTGTGTTGTTTTTTTTAACTAAAAATGAACTGGGGGAGAATGAGTGTGAACTGCTAAGGTCTTTGCTGTGAGGCTGGGGCGAGTGAGTGTGTGTTGTTGTGGTTATTATTGTTGTTGTTGCTGTCATTACCAGGGCTTTGAGTCGGGAGTCCCTGCGGGGGGTCTTCATCACGTCGATCCCGGGGCGTGTACCCTCCGCTCCACCATCGGAGGTCGCGCTTTCAGCCACTATGCCCGAAAATGTGGAACACTCTCTCAATCCCTCCACCTTGCCCCCTCTCTCCCCTTTTTTAAGTCCCGCCTGAAAACCTTCCTCTTTGTCCGCGCTTACAGCCACCTCCCCCGCCCGGCTCGGAGTCGGGCTCCGCCACTGTTAAGCGCTCTGAGACGCTACGCTGCTCGGAGGGGGGGGTGGGAACGGTACAACTGTAAGTTGTTGTTGTTGCTGTGCACACGGTCCCGCGTCGCTCCTCTTCTTCTCATCATTGTGGAGTCCTGTAGCTCAGTGGTTGGAGCACTCGCTTTGTAAGTGAGAGACCTGAGTTCAATTCCAGGCAGAGGGCGAAACCTTGGGCAAGTTTCCTTACTCCACACAGCCTAATAATAATCCCTCCAAAACAAAACAATAATAAATTGGTCATTTTCAATCCACGACTGTTTGTGGGACATTGCTGTGCGCAATTGGCTGCCGCGTTCGCCCACAAATATACAGTCAATTCACTTTACAGTGTGTTCTGTGAAGCGCTTTGGGACGTCCTCCTGACGTGAAAAGCGCTATATCAAATGCAAGGATTATTATTATTATTATTATCGTAAGCGAACGGCAAAAGGGAGCAGAGCCGGACTGCACAGACCGGGACTGCACAGACCACCGCGGGCTTCACTGGCTGAGATAAGGACCGGGGTGGCCGCCAATTAAAACACGTTTGGCGTCCAAAGGCCACCACAAACCAGCTCAAAAGTAGCCCAATATTACTGCTACGGGTAGCACTGGCAGAGCGGCCAATGTAGGTCAGTTGCTTTTGAAACTGTGTATCAAAGGGTCTTCAAAGGGAATCTGCAGCTTCAAATGTTCAAACATTGAAAAAGTAAGCAGCCGCCCAAAGACAGAGTGCCACAAAAACCCGCCCAACCGGGCGTGAAGCCGCCCAACCTGACCAGCATTACCCCGGAGCCGTGCCGGCGCGCATGCAGCCCTGGGTGCGGGGCGTGGCCTGCAAGGCGCGAGGCGAGGCCGTTGGTGCTCGGCGGTTTGGCGGTGATTTGGTGGGTGGGGAAAGGATTCCGAGCGCGCGCGCGCGGAATCCTTCCGCCAATGACAGCGCGAGAGAGAGAGAGAGAGAAAAAGAGTGCGGGACACGTTGGAGAGCGCGTGCGCGAGGCCAACGAGCAGCCGGAGCAAAGAGTGAAGCGGAGAAAGAGACCGGTTCACTCACGCACACTTTTCCTCCACATCGCATCTCTGTAATATATCCACATATATTATTACACATCGAAAGAAACGCGCAGTCTTGAAGTGGAAAGCAGAAGTTGGCCGTAGGACACCCGACAGAGAAGAAAGAAGGAAAGGAAGACAGGAAAGAAAAGAAAGGAAAGGAAAGAGCACGAGCGACACAGACGAGACAGAGAGGACCCGACTCGCCTTGTAACGGTCGTTTTTTTTAAAAAAAAACCACCACCACCACCACCAAAAAAAAATAAGGAGAGAGAAAGAGAGAGAGAGAGAGAAAAAAAAGGGAACGAAAGATTTGTGTGTATCTGTGCAATTACTGACTTCCACCCTTTATTAAAATTCCCTGATTTTTCCCCTCCTCGCTTCCCTTCAGTCCGAACCCTGTCTTGTATATAATCACATCTCCGCACCCTTCTCTCTGACCCTCTACGTTACATCCCCAAAAACCCTCCTCTGTATACCGTCCAGGTGAGTTTTTGTCTTTTCATCACTTCCTTTTTTTTGGGAGAACCGTGTAAGAGTGTGCGTGCGTGCGTGTGTGTTTTCTTTTCATATATATATATATATTTTTTTTAAAAAAAAGGCTGTGGTTGTGTTCCCTTCTTTCCGAATAAGTGGCAGCTTTATTCTTTTCCTTCGTGCAGCCTCAGCATCATCCAGAGAGATCTGTGCCTCTGCCTCTAACCCACCCGCCCGCCTGCCTCGCCTCGCCTCATCATCCAGGGGGAGGGGTTGGGGTGGGGGGTGTGGGGTGGGGGGGGGTCTGCAGGTTAGAGACCGAGAGACCGAGAGAGAGAGAAAGTGGGAGAGTTACAGGCTTTAGTAAATTGCAACTTTTTGCAATGGTTGGGAAAAAAAAGTGGGGTGTTTGCAGAGGAAGGGAAGGGTGAGAGAGAGAGAGCAAAAGAAAAAAAAGAGGTGTCGATACTGGGCAGCTAGAATGGGAGGAAAGGGTGGGGAGAGTTAGGATTCGACTGCGCGCTGGAAATGGTGCAAGTTCATAAAATTTTCAACGGTAGAGTAATCTTGTGCGGGCTGAGTGCTTCAGTTTTATTCGCCGCTTTTTATTTTACCCCAAAGAAAGGTGCTTGACTTGTTGTTAAACTAAAGGGAAATTTCCACGCAAGAGAAAGAGCTTTGTTAGGCTGTCACAAGTTTTGTTCTGTAAATGGGAAAATATCAGATGCATCTGCTTCAAGTGACCGTTTAAAGCCGGGTTGCTTTTTAAGGATATTCTAAGTTGCCAAGAAGCATTGACTAGAAGCCTTTTACTGAATTTTCTACATTATCATATAGCATAATGTAGAAATATAATCGGTAGCATTTTCAATCAACTGATATTGCACGAAACATTATGTTTTAATTGCAATATTCTGTTTAATTGATTTATATTTTTCATTTAGATAGATGCATTGTTACTTCCAGTTTAACTATTAGAATGACATAACTGTGTATAATTTGAAGGAATAATGTAACTGAAACATTTCTTGTACCAAGATGCTGTAGGTTCATTAAAGCTGAACACTGTATAAGTTTACTTAGAGTAGGTTACCAGGAAAGATGCTGAACATTATTCTAATCTAAATAGGGGAGTCCTAATGTTCTTAAATACTCAAACTGATTTAAAAATAATTATACTAGTATTACTACTGCTCGGTGATATAGCTTGTATTTAAAGCCTTACCATTGCTTATTTTGTTTTAGTCAGATCAAGTGAAACTAAGGGATATGATGACATGGATATGCAACATTGTTTTTTCTGCCAATTTCTTCATCTTTAGGGTGGTCCTTGATGCATACACATTTAATGGATCTTATTTAATATAAATCCTCATGGAGATGTTTGCTACAAAATAAATGTGTACATTAGAACACCCCCTCATCCTAAACAAATGTACATCTTAAATTAATCAGTTAATAATGCAGCTCTACAAATTTTGCATTTATAACAATTTAAAAAAAAGGTGTATAGGAGGGGCATTCAATCCACACTATTAACTTAACACAGCATTTTACTATTAAATATATTCTGGTGAAGTAAGTTAATATTTTTCATGTAGTGTCTTCGGTGATTCTGGATCTGTAAAGGACTGCATCATCTTAATGCAGCTTTGCTTTCAGCAGTACTTTAATAATTGATGTGGCTACCTTCAGACCTAATAGAGACCAGGGTGATTGGCTGCCAAAACTGAAATCTGGTGGCAGTGTAATAACTGTACAGGAATAGACTATTGCATCCATCTGTTGCTAGGTTGGGTGCTAATTAGGAAGGATGCCTAGGGTGTTCATCTCATAAAGACTAGAAAAACAGAGATTGTATGATGTGTCATAACCTTGTGGTGCCTATAGATTCGCCTGAGATGTTACTTTTCTGGTAGGAAGGTGTAAACAACTCTAAATGGTTAACACAACATTATTTAAAATATGCAAATAGATACTCTTAATTAGTGTGAAGAGATCTTACTGAACAGAAGTAATGTATTGTCGCTAAATGATCACAATATTGAAATTTATCTAGGACACACTTTTTAATTTGTTTTCAAATAACATTTCTACTTTTTTGATTGGTGTGGTACAAGTATGCAGCAACTATAAATTAATATAACTTGATAACAGTGTATTTGTAGTTACAATAAAACAACTTGCAATAGACTATAGTACTAAACAATAAGACTTCAATTAAACAGTCAGTATGCATAAGCTAATTGTTTTTTATAGTCTTGCACAAATGCTCAATCTCAAATTGTGTGAGTGAAAATGTGCCTGCATACTGACATTGCAACCAAATCCACATTAACTTGCTGTTTTGCATGAATATAAAAACACCAAGCAGAGCATTTTCCATCCCTTGGGGTGCTGTCTTTCTTTACATTAGAAAAAAAATCATGGCTTTAATATTTTTGGTTTGTTTTAATAAGATAGCAAAAATAGTTTTAAAATAAATTTATTGTACAACACTGAGGTAAAACATATGTTTGCTCACCATGATATGTCCATGTGGTGCTAACTGATGGATGAAAGCAAAGCCGTCTTAAAATTCAAATAGATTGTCACCTAAATATTTTGCTGATCTATAATACTCAATTTTATAGGAAATGTACAAATGCAGTAATGTTTTGTCCAAAATAACATATATTTTGTTTTTAATTAACTTTTTTAAATTAAAATGTGATAAATGCAGCTGCATATCCTCTTTTTGACTTGCAAATGTGATCCTTTTCAATTCAAGTCCATTTTGGTGCATCTGAAATGTTAAATAGAAGTGAGCAAAAATTACATTACGTAGCAGTGTTTTCGCCCTAGAAGACCAAGTAACAAGCTTGCCTCCATAAGGAGTTCTTTGAACATTTTAGCATTAAGCTGATTCTCCATTCATAGAATTTGGTAATCATCGATACTCTGCTTCATATATATTTTCTCTTCTATAAATGTGTGTAATATTGAGAAAGTGCAATTGGAAGTCTAGGAGAGTCAATGGAGAGTAAGATGGCTAGCAATTTCTTTTTCCTGAGTGGAATTTCCCTGTGGAATTGTAGAGTAGGCTTAGATGACATGCTGTAGTTCTGTCAGGCTGAATGTTTTATAAAGGTGCTTCTGAGGCTGAGGGAAATTATTGTTCTTTCCTTTGGCTGCAATTTTCTCTTTCCCTGATGCCATTACCATCTGGATTGAGTTCTGTCCTGCCATCCATTAGCCACTAATGCTCCATTAGTGTGGGCTGGCTGAATTTGATTCCCCCCATTGTATGATTCTAGTTCCCATGGCATGTGTTATACAACCAGCCTAGTCTCCCCATGGCCCTCTCATTCACCCTTAATGTACTCACCTACCCTGTCCACTTTTTCTAATCAATACTCTCAGTTGCCACATTAATCCAACCAAGGCATAAAGACAAAAGGAGTTCAAGATATGAAAGATTGAACAACCTGACTGCTGCAGGAATGGAAGCAGACTGTTGAGGGAACTGAAGGCTTGATATCCAGAATGGATCTACCAACAGAACTGTAAACCCAATATATTCATTTATATTTGGATGTATCTTTGAAAGTGGAAAGGTGATTATCAACAGAAAGTAAAACGGGCCATCTGGTGTTGTAATCCTGTATACTGAAGAACACGAAACCTCAAGCTCACATGGTGTAAGATTTCTGAAGCTATAATTGTTCTATATAATAATATTACAATTCAAGATTGAAATTGCTTGCTGATGATTCTGAAAAATGCAGCAATTAGCAAAGGGATTAATATAGTTTGTGGAAAGATGGCATAAAGAAGACTGGATTTGTTTGAATGCTGATGGATCGTTATGGTTTGAACATCGCTTCAGAAGAATGCTTACTTTTCCTCAGATCTGAAATTTTGAAGAAACATCGGCACTGTCAGTTGACAGAAAATGTCTATTTGTTTATGTGTATCTACTTTAGGCAATGTTGATTTGAACCTTCTCCATTCTGAAGCAGGTGTGCATTGTGGTGGAAGACTTTGCAGCTGCCTTTCTGTAACTGGATGGTTTGCATTGTTAAAATCTTTCTTTCAGAATGTCAGTTCATTGCGCTATGTACAACAAAAGGCCAGCTCCCCAGGGATAAGGAGACAAAAGAACAGATGGTGCAATCCTTCAACAGTTCCCAAATTGTGAAGTTTGCTATTACAGATTAACAAACATAAATGCAAAATTAGAGATTTATGTACATAGCACTCACATGTCAGGCAAATCAATAAAACATTTGCTAGTTGTACGAAAAAGGAATTTTATAAATTTGATGTGTTCATTAATTTATGGACTTAGATACAAGATTCCCATTATTTTGAATGGAAAAACGGCTGATGTACATACGCATACGTTGTGATGTTTTGTTGGTCACTGTAAGTAATTTGAAATTTTATTCAAAATTGATATCTCCATTTTTCATTTGTAAAGTTTAGAGGTATGATGTGATATTTGGCACACATGTCTGAAAGGTAATAGAGTTTATGCAGCCGGTGCTATTCAGATTATTTTTAAAAACATAATTCAGGGACAATATTCATCAGTGTCAAATTTTATTTAAAGTTTATCTTTTTCATTTGTAAAGTTTTAAGGAGAAATGTGACATTTGGCACACGTTTAAAAGGAACAGAAAAGTTTATGTAGCCAGTGATATTGAAATTCTTTTGAATTAAAAACATCAGGGCAATATTTATTAGTGTCATTTGGTGCAAAACCATATTGTGTAAGAGAGGTGTTGATGGTTTGTATCTGGGGATGTGACTTGTGCATCTGTAAAAGCCTGTATCCACAACATTTTTTACACCTACCTGTGGGTATATTCCGTCCTGCAAAATATTTGCATTGATATTCTCATTCTTTGAGGTCGAGTGGCAAACGTAAACATTTTTACGAAAATGTTTTTAAAATCAGCCAGGGAACAGGTAGTGCAGAGAATTTGATCAGCAATGTGTGACACTGAGTACAGCCTTAATTCTCC